CGGTAAACGAGCTTACGGACAGTATCATATTTGATGTTGTGCGTCAAAACACCAGGAAGCCACAGTTGGTTTTCTTTTTATTCAGTTATGGGGAATCCTCCCCAGATCAACTTAGAGAGCAAATAAATAGTGAGCCTTTTTTTACCATTTGCCGATTCGCAGCAGGATTGGATTTAGAATACTTTGGCCGTTGCTTCAAGCAGATGCTCGATAACTGTATATGTCTAACGCAAAGTAGTCAAAACCAATTTTTTTCGAAGCAGCTAGGGAAGTTGTTACTGGCAATGCCTGTCAAACATGATATTCTTCAAAAGACCAGGGACACAAAACACTCCTGCTTAGTGAAACTAGATCGACTCAACTACATAAAGAAACCTTACGGACCCCTTATAGTGAGAGGCTTCCCTTAACTATGTGGAGCCAAATTTTGAAACTTGTGAATCTGTGGCTAAATTTCTTACAGACCGAGAAGACAGGGTCTCGGCTGATAGAGCTCGGCTCAAGTATTCGTAGCAAATTTCGTTCTGCGCCTATAGACCTTAGTTCAAACGGATTTTTCTGAGGAAATTAAAAAGAAACAAGTGCGGGATCTGTTTGTTAACCTGGCTGGGGATTACCCGACGTGCCTAAAATAGCAGAGTAGGGTGTTCAAAAAACGCTATCTCCTAAGGAAGAAAGTCATTGGGTATGCCAATTATGCGGTCACATATCAGACGTGACCGGACACCAAGCTGACAGATCGATTGGCCACGAGAGGTCAATAAATGTTGTGATATTACGATTTGGGGAAAGCCGACCACGATCAAATGATGTTCCACGGCCCTACGGAAATATCGTTGAACCCCGATTTAGTGTACAGGGAGGGGAGCAGATCATGACATACACCTTTGAATCTGAGTACTACAGCAAAGTCATCGTAACCACTGCTTGGGTAAGCAAAGCTTTGTCAAATTTCCCGACGTCCGATGGACCATGGTCTGTCCGAGATGGCTGGACTTACCAAACGTCAATACAGCCTGTGGAAACATTGTTTGGTCTGACAACAAAATTCCGTGTAGACTACAGAATGCAGGGTTCTTAGAGCGCAGAAGATTTTTGGTTTTCTCAAGGGGCGATAAGACATTTTCACTGTCCATGGGACTCAAACCTGGTCTTTTGCAGACAGTCACAGTGTTTTGACTAATCATTGGGACGCATACCGAAGTGGAGGGTAATATCCACACCTTTATGCTTTTGTGATTAACAAATAATGTCGAATCGCTCTGACCAAATGACGATGTCAGTAGAGGCAGTAGTAGCCCTCCCTGGGACTCACATCGAGGAATATGCTACACCAACTAAATTTCCATAAAGTAGAGAGCACCATCAACATATGGAGTAAAGGGGGTTTTTACAAATTATTAAATTACTTTTTAACGGTGTGAAAGTGATTAAATTATGGCAGTTACAGTGTACAGTGGCGGTAGGAGACTGTTGTGGCAAAGGTAAGCGCAATGAACTTACTCTTTGTGTTTTTAGACTATTGCAAAAAAGTTGACAGTTGCATTCTCAGGGAAATAAAGTTAAAATCAAATAATTTCGGTAACAGGTAAGGTGCTATGGAAGTTCCGCGACTTTTTTTATATTCTGCACGAACTTCGACGTGTTTGCTCTGCAGCTGATATTTCATTTGGATTTTTAAGGATTGTCTGCTTTCTTTCAAATGGGGACTAGAAAAAGAAATTCCCCTTGTCAGCGAGTCGAGTTAGCGTGCGATCTTCGAGGTGCTTGACCTGTTGTTGAGTTGTTTGGGTACGGCACGGGAATATGGACCACCGTCGTGCGGGGGTCACGCCCCAAATTCCAGGGGTTAGGATCCGAATCAAGATTAGTGTTAGCGCTGGGGCAAGTAGGGTTAGGGTTATGGAAGTTAGTGGCAAAGTCATGGTCATGGGAGTTAAAGTTAGGACTAAGGTTGAGACACGCAAATAGATACCACCTGGAATTTGGCGAGAACAATCTGTAATATGGGGAGGAGGAGTCCGCATTCCTGTGTCCGACCTTCGTTTGACCAAACGGGACTATTTCCAGAGGCCCCGAAAAGTTGAAGAACATTATCGATCATCAAGCTCCGGGTCGGAGGACTGCGGTGCACTGGTTTTTGGACTTTAGAATCGGACATTTGGACGTCCAGCCAGAGGTATGTGTCTCAAGACTGATGAGCCAAACGTTACCGCCGTCGAGACAGCAGAGACAAATGACCTGAAAATTACCGACCGCCATTCGGCTTTAGTGCGCAGATCTTCAAGAATCAAACACAGTCAACTGGGTTTGGGTAAGGAATATGTTCGATGCGTTCCCCGCGTGACCTGTCCGACCGTGATAGACGACTCGGCGTTGATTTTGCCCGAAAATTCTTCTGGAACTTATATGAGGGCAATGACGTTACGTTCTCCAACTCACCATTGATGATAAGTTACAATTATACGTGTACAGTCCCCTATTAAAATCCCAGGGCACGGGATCGTTAAAGGTTGCAGGTCTTCCACCGAAGAGACTCGAGCGTCAAAACTGACCGGAGAAGTTATGGTAGCAGTTTTTTGTTCTCTAAAACAAGATATCTTGATGGGCGTCCGGAAGAGAATCAGGCCCTGACGTCCGTTTGACAAAGTGAAGCGCCCCTGACGAAGGCTTTGTCTGGTTACGCTGTGGGCCGTTCATAAACAGGACTGATTGACGGGTCCCTGATCCATGATGTCGCACCTACATATAGGACGGAACTCGGGAAAAAATTTCCTGACTGATTTTGAAATAGGCTAATTCGAGTACGAGTCTATTCATATTATCTTGTGCCTTGTGACTTTTATATTTTTACAAAAGTGCTGCGTAGGAAACTCGCGTCTGTCCGCCCCCGTGGTCACCAGCGGGGCCGTTTACTCACGCCGCTTCTCATACCATTCTGCGCTCCCTGCCAATCGTTTGCTT